AGTGATATGATAGGAGACAACTCACAATTTCTCGGAGCTCAACAGATTTTCTTATTTCTCAAACACATCAACTTTGGAACCATTTATGCTGCTTAACAGGTAGGTAAAACAATACACGTTATGGGCGCCAAATGACCACCGCAGTCGGCGCGCCACTAGACACCAATAAACAACAACAACAACGAATTGGGGATGTGTGCAAGCCGCAAGCCATATTTTGTATAACAGGAACTTAGACCGCGACGTGGACCATCTCTGAAGATCGTCAGCCGTAGGACACGGCAAACTTGCTCGTCTCTGAGCTCCGCCAGGACTTCATCCTCTGGTCATGAAACGGAGCCCGGGCGCGAATATGGTGCCTTTGGTGGTTGTGTTTCTAGCATAATGCAGGGAAACTTTTACTTGTTTGCCACAAAATTCAGTTTTTTAGAAGAGCCTTGATCTGCGCGCGAGCCGTTGTTTTTTATGATCAGTGATCTGTTTTGCCGATGCCCCAATTTGAGTTCATATGGACTGCAGGAGCCTTGATTTGTTTCAATGACCAGTAGACGTTGTTTTCCGAAAAGAGACGTTCTCATCACGAGGCTGAACGCCAACGTAAGGGCCGAGAGGACCCAGAATTGGCTCAGAGAGCAGGCGAACCCTGGTCAATGTCTAGCGAGGGTCAGCATGAGAGCGAGCAGGCACCGGGGTGGTCGAAGATGAGCGAGGGTCGGAATCACGGGCGTTGGAAGGGACGGGTGCTGTTCAAGCACCGTGGAAGGAGTGCGTGAGCCAATGGAATGGGCCTGGGGCGCGCGAGAGTCACCAGACAAGGTGGTAGGTAAGGCGAGGCTAGCAGCATTTCCCATCGTCTATGTCCAGGGATGTCACAGGCCGAGTTCGAGTCTGTGTCGGTGTCACCCTTCTTGCGCTCACCATGCTTCCCCATAACGGGGTAATGAGAAGAGAACAACAAGATCTAAGTGAAAAGTGTATGCTTGAAACGGATGCGAACGGAAAAAGCGACGAAAACGGGCGATGATAAAAAGGACTCCTTGGCTGAGGGCCGCAAAGGAGCAAACCACTTATGTAGGTCTCGCCAGACAGGTGTATGACCACCGATGGGTCAATGTGAGCTCTGTGTGATTTGTTTGAATACGGATTGCGTTTTGTGCTATACAGTACAGGACCTTTGGCAATGTTACGAGTTACGACGAATATAAGAATGAGAATCGAACAACGTATGGGAAGCGCGGTAACCTACCATGTGAATGCAATCAACCAACATAAATCACTGAAAATATGCAAGAACATCACGAGACAGAACCAAAACATGTACACATAACGACATTCAGTTTGTAAGAGCAACACATCGATTAGCACGACAGCTGTAGGCAAGTTGAAGTACTACGGTTGAGTCAGCCCGTCCGCTACCGTGACGATTCGCACGGACAGTTTGACAGCCACTCTGACGTCATACAATCGTTTCATGATGCAATCAAACGATAACGTAGTGCGGATCAAACATACTTAATTGTGAAATTCCTTTTGTCCAGAGCATTCTTTTCACATTAGAAAGCACACAATTGTTACGTCATTCGCACATTACAACCATTGTATATCTAGGGTATGGTTCGATAACCGCACGTACCCGTTCATAAATCCTGTAAGCGCGCATGTTTTTCGTTGGCACCGACGCAGCCACACCTAGTTCGCCGAAGCTTGACTATTCCACGGGGCGTGGGCCCCTCCGAGCCGTGCAGCTGTTGTGATGGTGACGGGGTTTACACCGACGTCTGAAGAGCGACGTGAATATACCGCAGGTGATGCCAGGTCGACAGACGCAGCGTGGTGCATGAACGTGACGGCGCCAGCTCACGTCAAACACCGGCCGGTTCGTTCTCGGCGCCCGCGCGCGGGCGCCCGGGTGTGCGCGCATGGCTCGTGGAATTTAAGTCGGTTTGCGTAATTGTCCTGTCACTACTGGCCGCCGAACCGTTACGTCGTCCGCTCGCCGTCGCAGTCAGCAGCGTTGCGTCACGCCTGGGCCATGACAGACGAGCGAGCGCGTCATTCCCGAACGTGACGGGCGTTTTCTTCTGTAGGTGATCTGGAGCGGTCTTTAAACGTAGCTGCGCAGAGACAAGCCGCGCCGAGCCTGCCCATCTGGTATCAGACGTTGCTTTCTAGCCCTGGAGGAGCATGTGCGCCGGCAGCATTTCCAACTATGGGAAACTGGTTCTTTTTCAGCGCCTGCACCCTGCTCAAGTGTTGAACACTTTCAGCACAGTGTCGCACCTCAATCTAGAGCTCTCGCTCAACAGCGGGTCGTCGGCGTACGTCATGATGTCCGCCTCCTGCCGTCTGCCTCTGGCAGCGGCGGGTGGACCGGCGCTCCTGCTCCGGGTGGGCGCGAGACCGGTGTCCATCGCACCCCCCGGGGCAGGCCGATCGGGTGTAATCAGCGGGAGCAATGAGGCTGCCGCCGGGGCGCCGGCCGCGCACTCCATCAGACCGCCGAGACAAAGCGGCCGCCCGGCGCCGCGCCGTCTGCCGCGTCCTGTTTTCCGAATTCTCGCCTGTTGACAAATGGCGCCGGCCACTCTTCCTGTTGCGGCGCGGCGCCCGGCCGCGCCAAATTGGCCGCGGTGCCGCGCCGTCTGCCGCGGCCGGCATTTCACGGCCCCGGCGGCGGGCGGCGGGCGCGCGGCGGGGTGGGGGCGGGGGGCCGGTGCGCCCCGGCGCGCCGCCGCGGGTGCCGAGGTGCCGGAGTGTGCCGTCCGTTCGCGATCAGGCCGCCGGTAGATTTATTTATGGTTTGAGGTAATTACGCACATGCCTGCGCCATGGGTGCATGCGTCGACCCAAATACTTTGCTCAGCCGTGAAATTTTTAGACAATCGTGCTGCTTTGTGCCGCCCGAAATCCAGTATGAAAAGCATTACCGTGTAAAAGGTGCTACAATTATTTGAGCCTGCTATAAAATTGGCTCGAATGTGTTTGTGTCCATGGATATCGAAAATAGGGACGACAGTTTTGACTAATGTATCTTGGTTTCTTTTCTAGTCATGCAAGCGCGTCCAGGAGTGGGAACTTGTTGGGTGCAGTGAAACACGAGGGACATATATGGCAACGTTTATGAGCAATTGTGTCCTATACTTTATGAGCTCTGTGTCATCATTTGTTGTATTTATATGGGAAAAAGTCGGCGTCCGTGAAGCAGGCCTTCGTTGGTGGTTCGCAAGGAGTAGGGCATCAACTTGAAAAAAAACATCAGCTTCACTCACATTTTTTTTATGCCCGACAAGTAACTACATGTTGTGTGAACGTGTGAAATCAGCGACCACTGCGGTTTTTTATATGAGCTACCACCCACGTACACACAATTTTATGCAACTAAATGCATTTTAAAAACACTGGCATACATCAAAGCTAACGGCAGTCCTGCTCAGGGGGGTCGGAAATTATCTGCCGCAAAAATTGTCTGGATAAAAAAGTGTTCTCACCCAATGTCTGAAGCCGTCTAAAGATTCCAGTTAGCAGGGGCCGTGGCGGGATTTCGGATGTCCGAAGGCCGCCATAAGCTCGACGCGTTATGGGTGACTCGCAGTGGTGTGTCAGCACTAACGTCGGCAGCAGCAGCCTGATCGGCACTGCTACGGACTCAGTGGTGTTGTCAGCACCAACGTCGGCAGCATGGCCTGATCGGCAACTGCTACGGAACAAACGTCCGGCAGCATGGCCCTGATCGGCACTGCCAGACTCAGTGGTGTCTTAGCACCAACGTCGGCCGCGCGGCTTGATCGGCACTGCCAGACTCAGTGGTGTCTCAGCACCAACGTCGGCAGCATGGCCTGATCGGCACTGCCACGGACTCAGTGTTGTATCAGCACCAACGTCTGTAGCACGGCTTGATCGACACTGCCAGACTCAGTGGTGTTCAGCACCAACGTCGGCAGCATGGCTTAATCGGCACTTCCCACGAACTCAGTGGTGTGTCGGCACCAACGGTCGGTTAGCATGGCTTAATCGGCACTGCCACGGACTCAGTGGTGTATCAGCACCAACGTCGGCAGCACGGCTTGATCCGGCACTGCCACAGTGGTTTCATACACAACGGGGATTCATCAGACCTGGCGTAGTGTGTTCACGTTTGTAAGAAATGGATCTGCTGGCATTTTGAAGCGGAACGCGTTTGCATTTTGCTGGCACCACTCTAACCCCATTGTGCTGTACGATCCCTCCCAGTCGCTTTCGCTCTATCTGAGAGCCTCTCCCTCGCCTCCAGCAGTGTCTGGCCGCCAGGCCAGCTGCCCTGCCCTCTGCGCCGTGTCTCCGGTCGGCGTCGTCAGCCGCCCACTCCACACCACCTCCGAGGCGCCTCGCAGCGAAACAAGGTCACCTCGCTGGAGAGCCAGGCGCGCCGGGCCCCGGAAAAAGCAGGCCGCGAGGTGCCGGCGTCTTGCGGTGGAGGGCAATTTGTCAAGGCACGGTGTTTTTGTCCAGAACCGTGTATATTTACCAAGATGTACACGCTGATACACCCCGCCGGGGCCGCGAGGGCATTTGCTAGCCTGAGAAATCTCCCGCCAGTGAAATTCGACAGAGGACAAGGTAGACTGCGGAGTATGACGCGTACAGATGAGCTGGATTCAGTCCGCGCCGCGGGTCTCCGCTTCAGGATCGATGCTGGTGAGTTGATAAGGAAATTTCCACCAAAAAACGTCACGAAATTTCCGCTAAAAAGGTCGCGAGATTTCCGCCCAAAAAGATCGCGAAGCAGCATCCGATGAGAGGCGATCCGTGTATACGTGGAACAGTGGGTGCCCTCGCTGTGTTGGTCGGTCGGTTTTGTTAGCGGACAACGCCTTAACACAACGCAAGGCTTTGTCTCGGCCACTCCTCTCGAGATCACCACAGAGACTGGCTCGTTCACAGGCGGGCTTTGTCCGTCTGGCGCGGTCCGCACAGGCCCGATTGTTTGTCGTCGCCTCTCGAGAAGGTCTCGCCACGCTTCATTAGGGCGGGATAAGCTTGCAGTCGTGCGACAGCAGGTCTGCGCGCAGGCACGCGCCCATTTTGCCCGGCTGTATGGACGCCCAGGCGCTCTGCTGCACGGGGCTGGGCCAAACAATGTGACGGTCGGACGGTGATCGACGCTCCGTCCTATAATCACAGTCATCACTAATGCGCAAGTGCCGTGCACAAACAAGTACTACTGTTGGACCGAGCTGAATGCCACCAGAGTCGTGGCCGCTGCCCGCGGCTGTTTATGCAGGGAAATGTTCAGCAGGTTGATGGCGTCTAATGGACTATTTGCTAACGCTGGGAGGGCGGGAGCTGTCTTCACTCGCGTGTCAGGCGTAGAGGAAAATGTGGTGCCCCCCTCTCCTCCCCCAGGCATTCGGCCTTGAACGACCCACAGCAAAGGCCGGCTGGTGGAAACCTCAACGTCAAATGAGCATGAACATTTCCCGTTAAAGTTTTTTTAGGGTTAACCGTGATTTCCAGGTCAGGTCAACCTTAGCGCTTAAAGACAGGAAGAAGCCAATTTACAGATATTCAATATACAATAAGACAGTTAATTTCTTCCCGCAGCGCAGACCGGCGATTTTCAAGAAAGGGTTCCAAAACTATGATACGAATCAAATTCAGCAAAGACCGTGGATCACAAGGCCGACCTATAATACAGTTCATCAGAACAAATTTATTTGATTTGACCTTGAAACGTGCACTGACGTATCGCATTGACCTGTGCGCCTGATCAATATGATCATGTACCGATTACGTACTTATCCAGAGGTACCGTCAAGCCACGACTACTGAGGAGAACAACAAAAGCACGAACAATAGCGAACGGCTGACATCGATTCGCAAATCTGTATTTGGCGTCCTGGCAGCCTTGTTACCGGGCATGGGACTACAATTTTGTGCGAAGCATATGCAATAAATGTATCGCCTGCTGCGCTTGTCTGGTTGGCACCGTAACACGCAGTGTTCAGCTGTTCCAGAAAGGCCGCTTGGGCTGGATGGTGTCTTTGCACGGATTAGCTTATTGCTGGTTCTGTAAACGACGTTTGGTAGAGAACGTGGGGCGATAGGGCGGGAATGCCACTGAAGCCGACCCTGAAGCCCTCTGTAACAAATTCCCGGGACAAGTCAGTACTGCGCATGACACCGGTAGTGCACCTGTGTCAAACAAAGCAAAACATAATTAGAGCACCCGCACAAGAAAAACATTCTTGCATCATTTCAAACCTAGGATACCGGCCAAAGCTATAGACAGAACTAGCTCACGTCTGATGTGGCCACCGCCATCAGCGCGCCAGCCGGCAGCCAATCACACAACAGACAGGACTAGCTCACGTCTGATGTGGCCACCGCCATCAGCGCGCCAGCCGGCCGCCAATCACACAACAGACAGGACTAGCTCACGTCTGATGTGGCCACCGCCATCAGCGCGCCAGCCGGCAGCCAATCACACAACAGACAGGACTAGCTCACGTCTGATGTGGCCACCGCCATCAGCGCGCCAGCCGGCAGCCAATCACAACGGACAGGACTAGCTCACGTCTGATGTGGCCACCGCCATCTGCGCGCCAGCCGGCAGCCAATCACAACGGACAGGACTAGCTCACGTCTGATGTGGCCACCGCCATCAGCGCGCCAGCCAGCAGCCAATCACACAACAGACAGGACTAGCTCACGTCTGATGTGGCCACCGCCATCTGCGCGCCAGCCGGTAGCCTATCACACAACAGACAGGATTAGCTCACGTCTGATGTGGCCACCGCCTTCAGCACGCCAGCCGGCAGCCAATCACACAGCACAACTCTGGAAATCATCACCCGTTCACCTCGGCGCGTTGCGACTAGACTGAGTACACTGTACCGCTGTTGATCCCATCAGATGCATCCCATGTGCATGGGTATTAGCATATGAGGATTCCGTCGCATTGGGTATTGAATGACACACTTGTATGGACATGGCACTGAGTGAAAGAGGACTTGATGCAAGCCTCCCCGGTGGACTGACCCTGGTCATCAGATTCCCCCCTGAATTAAATACTTTCAATGACGTAGTTTTGATCAAATAAGATCTCCGTGCCAGTTCTAGTTCCCAGCGTCTAGCGCCAGACTTTGAGGACAACCCAAAATGTTATCAGCCTCTTGTTAAGTCCTTGAAGTCATCAGCGCACATATCTTCCGTTCTCGAGCGCGATGGCAATGTGTACAAGGGTGATGAGGAGCGCGCCAACTGCCTGAAGGTATGTTTTGTTCGAAGTTCTGCGACCGTAACGTACGTTTGTTGCCGGACCCACCTTTGCTCGATGCGCCTGGATTAGCAAACTTTACCGCATCACATGGCCATGTAACCTACCTGTTGAGCGGTATTAGTGCACACAAGGCCTGCGGTCCCAATGGGCTCAGCGCAAGGATCCTCTGGGAGTGTGCCGAGGAGCTAGCTGTTCCGTTAGCAATATTATGCAAGCTTTCTCTGAACTCTGGCGTCTTCTCCGCCATGTGGAAGCAAGCGAATGTGATACCGGTGCACAAAAAGGGGTCCAAAAAGCTGCCTGAAAATTACAGGCCTGTGTCTTTGGCTCCTATCTGCTCAAAAATTTTTGGAGAAAATTGGGAGCGAAAGCCTATTCCTGGTTTGTTTGCTTGCCCTTCTTTAATGCCAGGATGGATTTCTTTCAAAGCGCTCCTGCATCACTAACCCCTCCATGGCTTCTTGAACACTGCTGGACATATATCCCAAAACGTAAACAAACCGATGCCTGTTACACCGATTGCTCTTGAGCATTCACCAGCGTCAATCGCCTTCTTTTCTGCTTCATAAGCTTCTCTAGTCTTTTTTTGCATCGCTGGCCGCGCGCACAGCTGGCTGGAGTCGTACTTGAACAATCCTCACAGCGCGTAGTGCTAACGGCGAGCAGTCTGACCTGGATTTCCGGTGCGATCTGGTGTCCCGGAGGGCAGCATCCTAGGACCGCTGCTGTTCGCCTGCTTTCTGGCTGCTATTCTTGACCAAATTGAGAGTGAGTGCGTGATGTACGCTGATGATGTGCAGATTTATAACCGAATCGACAACGTAGCGGATTGTCTTACACTTCAGACGGATTTGGATCGCCTCTGTGAATGGTGCAAAAACTGCGGACTGAAACTGAACCCAGTTAAGTGCAATACCATCTCATTCACCCTCCGCACGTCACCTGTTCACTACTCACACGCACTAGACGGTCACCGCTTGGATAGTTGCCAGCAGATTCGCGTTCTTGGCGTTATCCTGGACACCAAACTCACCTCCGCCAATCACATAGGTTCAACTGTCTCAAAGCCAAATGAGATGCTGGGCTTTCTCATGGGGGGCGTGCAAGTGCCGTCGCGCCCTCGTCAAGCGCGGTTCAATCACAAGACTTTGCTTCGTGCCTTCAACGCTCATGTGAGATCATTGATAGGGTACGGTAGCGTTGTTTGGGGCGCTGCTGTCGTCTCCCATCTCGTCAGGTTGGAAAGGCTACAGCACCAGTTTTTCATGTGGTTGGTTTCGAGTAGCCAGTCCCGGTGTCCTCTACTGGATTATGAGTTTCTCGCTTGTTTCAAAACAGTATCTATCAGGGCATACTTTAGCTGGTCTGACATCTTATTCCTATACAACGTATATATCACAGGCTTGACTGAGCTCACCTGACATCACTGTTCAGTCTGGCTACACCCGTCCGGCGTTCTCGGCATACCGGCCTTTTCCACGAGCCATTTGCAAAGGTCGACACTGTTAAAAATGGATATGTCGCATGACTACCCGTTGTCTGCGATCATTTCTTTGCAGCATTTTCCCTTAACAGACTTCTTCGATCCAGCAAAATCATCCCGATCTGATTTGTTAGGTTCGCCGGCACACGTGGAACATTCTCTTGATGGCCGTTGTGTCTGAGTGTGTATGTTGTATGTGCGACTGTGTGTAATGTGTACGTGTGTGTGTATATGGCTATTTTTGTTTGTGTATGTGTGTGTGTGTCAGATATTTGGTGTTTTTAAAACAGGCCTGCTTCCATAATTGGGCTTTTGTCCGCGGAATGCTTTTGTCATAAATAAACAAATAAACGGTGGGAGCTGGAAGTCCAATAGGAACATTACAAAATTTGCTTTATGGTACAAAAATGCAGAGCTGCTAAAGACCAACTAGGGAAAGCTTACATTGCATCCGAATTATAGAGACCTAATCGACATGCATGTGAATACAGTTTTATTTTGCGCTAGAAGGGAAAATATCGCAGCAAGCTACGTGTCTCTAAAGATAACCACCGCGCGGTAGCCACTCAGTCATAATAACGGACGCGTCTGGTTTGGAGCAGACCGCTTTTAGCCCCATATTCTCACTAAAACATCATGGACTCCAAATGTTTTTACGCTGCGTCATCGCCTACAACTGCTGCTACATTTTGTTGTCTATGAACAATTTCGATTAGCAGACTTTAACTAGATGTGTACTTCCCACTATTGTCGGTATGATCAGTGCCGTCACCAGTATCGGTGTCGACAGAAATATCCGCAGAAAATTTCAGTTCCTTTTCGTACTTCATTCCGTATCCTGTTGTGCTCCTCAGACTATAAGTAGTCGGGTACCTCGCTAACGCGCAGAGCGTGGCCACCGCCGGCCGCCGGCACATCCGGTGCGATGAGGCCCATCATCTGGGCCGTGTGTGTATGTGTGCCAGGACGGCGGTGTGGGCCCGGCCCTAATTGCGTCCACCGCCTGATGGATGATTGGGATGTTTATCATTGCGTTCTAATGGTGACCAAAAACCGCACGGTCGATAGACTGCATGAAAAATGGG